TTTAGGGTTTAGGGTTTCGGCTTCTGGCCTCGTGAATGTGACACTGTGAATAGAAGGGTTTTGGGGTCTTATTGTAAATCCAATCATAGGCTTTATAGGACACACCCTAAACCATAAACCTTTAGCCTAAACCATAAACCCTAAACCCCCTACATAAAAGCGGGCTATGGTAGTTTTCAGGTTGGTCGCTGCTCGGTTAGGTTGCTCAGACTGTGGGACGAAGCACTCTCGTCCACAAAAGCCTAAACCTTAAACCCTAAANNCCCAAACCCTAAACCCCGAACCCCGAAACCCATAAACTCTACAGCAATCCCCATAAAACCGGGTGCTCGGTAGGAGGAGCTCCGGTTCTTCTACCGAAACCGTCGGCCATCCAGGAAGGGCTTTCTTTCCCTGAGACCCTCGTACCATTGAAGGGTTTAGGGTTTAGGGGTTTAGGGTTTAGGGTTTACGGGGAATTCCCGATAAGATTTAGATTGTTGGTTATTTAGGTTTTTTTTGGAAGGAAAAGATGGCAGATGTGTGGAATCCTAAACCGTAAACCCTACACCCTAAACCCTAGACCCTTACAAGGCCGCCAAAGCCCTCAAAAGCCCTGAGCCCTATGCCCTCAAACCTTAGACCCGTAAACCCCCAAAAGTCCTGAAGCTTAATGAAAGGTTAAGGGTTTAGGGGTTGAGGGGTTTAGGGTTTAGGGTTTAGGGTTTAGGGGTTTAGGGGTTTGGGGGTTTAGGTAGGGGTTTAGGGTTTAGGGTTTAGGGGATTAGGGTTTGGGGTTGAGGGCTAATAACCTAAACCCCTAAATCCGTAAACCCCTAAAGCCCTGACCCCCCAAACTAAACCTGCGCCCTACCCGCCTAAACCCCTCAAGCCGTCTAAAGCCCTAAACCTCAAACCCTCAAACTCAAACCCTAAAGCCCAAAACCATAAAAGCCCCATAGAACCCTAAACCCCAGACGTTTAACCCTCGACCAGTATAGTTTCTAATGGAACCATTACGAGGAATCCTTCAACGAGCGCTGCCTGTTGAGGAATGCCCAGCTGCGGTCGAGTCGCGGTTTCGAGACGGTCATGAAGGAGCTCTAAACCCTAAACTTGGCCCTAAACCCTAAACCCTGAACTGTGAGGTGTCTGCATCTGCGGGCTTTAGGGTTCCAGACATTGAGGAGCAGCGGTGAGTCTTAGGGTTGACCTTAGCCCCAAATTACCTACTTGTTTAAGGAACTTATATAAGGAAATCAGAAGAAGGAACGCTGAAAAGGTAGGTTTGTTTTGGGGTCCAGGTAGGGTTTGGGGATCAGTTTCCTGGTCTGCAGCTTCAAACTTCTGATTCTTCAGAGTTTAAGCTAAACACTAGACCCTAAACCCTAAACCGTAAACCCTAAACATACATCGCGGCTCTCACTTGGACGCAAACTAGCCTGTCACTATTTAAGGAGCAAGCCTCGAATAAAGGAATGTACTATAGATCATCACAAGAGGAACTATATACGTAAATGTAAGCTCTTTAGTTTCTGGGATGTCTGGGTACCCCAAACCTTCACAGACCTTATATGGGTAGTTCTCTAAATTAGTGTCCTTTTTTTGGTCCCCAACTATACATAGTACGGCACCCTTGTAAAAAGGACCCTAAAAGGGACCCTAATTTAGAGAACTACCCATATATATATATATATGCATCAAACAAGACTTCTTGCTGGGAGGACTTGACGGCAAGGACGAGCAAGCCCTGTGCTCTAGGCCTCCGGGACTACTTCCCCTACTGGCACCAAGGCAGGTGGGGTGGAACATAGCAGCCTTAGTAATTACCTATACTGTTTTAGGGTCCCCCAACTACCCTCTATTATCCCCCAATACTCACTATTAAGGACCATAAGGGCTCTATTAAAGGGCCATTGCGGGGTCCTGGTTATTATAGTTACAGTATAAGAAACCCCAAATACCTATTTCAATTATTAAGGCCCCTATAGGACCCCAAGGATCATCGGTTTGAGCAAGCAGGTCATGAGTTATGGGAGTGTGGAGTTTGGGGTTTAGGGCTGAGCCGTCCTTGGGGTTACCCTAAGCGCATCCACGTCTCCTTGCGGAGGCCTATGCCACTGGTGCGAAAGAAATATCTGCAGCAGGGTCAAAGAAATCCCACAAGCCGTAAGCCTCCAACCCAAGCCCTAAACTCTGTCGGAGAAACCCTAAGAACCCCTAAACCATCCTAAACCCCTAAACCCTAAACCCATAAACCCCTAAACCCCGGTACAGCCTGCCATTTAGGACGGCTTGTCTAGGGTTTGGGGTTTAAGTTTTAGGGTTCAGGGTTTTAGGGTGTAGGGTTTAGTGTCAACCCCTAAACCCTAAACCCTAAACCCTAAACCCTAAACTAGGGTCCAGGGTGTCGGAGCAAAGGTTTACACAGGGCCTTACAATCTATTCAGGCCCTAAGCCATAAGCCCTTGTAGAGGCTGTATGGAGCCATGTGGTTGAACCCTGAAAGCCTGAACTCCTATAAACCCCGAACCCTAAACCCTAAACTCCTAGACCTTAAAACCCTAAAGCCTAAACTCCTAGACCTTAAACCCTAAAGCCTAAACTCCTAAACTCCTAAACCCTAAACCTTAAGCCCCAAAGCCCAAACTCCTAAACTCCTACACTCCTAAACCCTAAACCCTAAACTCCAGAAACCGAGATGCCAACTCTTGTAGCGCCACCTCCCTGCATTCTTTGCCGGAGGCGGGCAGCATGGGCCTTTCGGCCGTGGCCTCGTGGGTTTAGGGTTTTCAGGTTTAGGGTTGAGGGCTTAGGGTTTTGGGGTTGAGGGTTTAGGTTTTAGGTTCTAGGGGTTAGCGGTTACGGTTTAGGGTTTAGGGGTTTAGGGTTTAGGGGTTCAGGGTTCAGGGTTGAGGGTTGAGGGTTTAGGGTTTAGGGTTTTAGGGTTTAGGGTTTAGGGTTTAGGGTTTAGGTTTTAGGTTTCAGGGGTTTATAGAAATTGGTAAGGGTTTGGGTGCCAATAACGTTTTGACCGAAACGTTTTGACCGAAAATTTTGACCGAAACGCTTTGACCGAAACGCTTTGACCGAACGTTTTGACCGAAAGTTTTGACCGAAACGTTTTGCTTAGGGTTCTGGGGTTGAGGGTTTAGGTTTCAGGTTTGAGGCCTTAGGGTTTTCGGGTTGAGGGTTTAGGTTTTAGGTTTTAGGGTGGTTTAGGGTTTAGGGTTGAGGGTTTAGGGTTGAGGGTTTAGGGTTTAGGATTTAGGGGTTTAGGGTTGAGGGTTCAGTTCTAGGGTTTAGGGTTTAGGGTTTAGGGTTTAGGGTTGAGGGCTTAGGGTTTTGGGGTTTAGGGTTTTAGGGTTTTGGAGTTGTAGGTTTTAGGGTTTAGGGTTGAGGTTTTAGGTTTAAGGTTTTAGGTTTTAGGGGTTTAGGGTTGAGGTTTTAGGGTTTAGGGTTGAGGTTTTAGGTTTTAGGTTTTAGGGTGGTTTAGGGTTTTAGGGTTCAGGGTTCAGGGTTCAGGCTTCAGGGTTTAGGGTTCAGGGTTTAGGGTTCAGGGTTTAGGTTTCAGGGTTCAGGGTTTAGGGTTCAGGGTTCAGGGTTTAGGGTTCAGGGTTCAGGGTTTAGGCTT